CATATCTCGGCAAAGAAAATGCGAGTGCCCTGCCAGCAAAGAGAATTGAGGAATATCCCCAGAGACTGTGATTTCTCCCAGAAGGGAACTTGCATGGAAGTGGCCGCAAATTCAGAACATACTATTATTTCATTCCCATACAACTTACAGAGCCAATGGCCAAGAATTAGCCTCACTCTAGTTGGAACAGTGAAACGGAACCAGATGTTCCTGCCCAAGGGGTTCGAGCAAAAGAAGGCTCTGCATCTCAACCAATCAGTGTTTTTGTTCAGATTAGAAACAACCGTATCAGATTATTCAAATACCAGAGCTCAAAGCAGAAAAATGTATTTCTCCTGAACACAATACACAATCGTCCAGATATAGAAAGTGAAACTGAACGCAAGAAACCAGAGATTGTGCTCTATAACAACAAAGTAAAAGGGTGCATATTCGCCATGGACCAAATGGTAAAGGTGTTCTCTGTGCATGCAAAAAAAAACAACAAAAAAACAAAAAATTATAAGTAAAAGATGACCGCCTTAGGTTGTGTTTTTCAACATTATTGACTTGGCATCATGGCATCAAGAGTGACATTTAAATAAAAAAAATATCCGACTAGCTCACCATCTCATGAAGACAACAGACAGTCAATATTGACGTTGCACATTTCCTCACCCTCCCCCAAGTAGAGGCGATCCGCCCCAACACATGAAGACATTGTGAGGCAGAACTTCGCCAGTGTTTTGAAATCTTTACTAGCGCTTCAAACAGCTGCCCAAACCACTTCAACTCAGAAAGTTTATTAGACATATTTGCAAAGAACATTCTGTTCTTTTATGTCAGAGTCAGATCTTTGCAAGCTGAGCTGGAAAACCCTTATTTTGAAATTGTACTTGTGAATGTTCTGGAAAGGGTTGGTCAAGTTGAATACATGTTTTTTATTGTTGGTACCTAAATGCATTCAGAATATTTATTTATTGTAAAAATTGGTTAAATCTTTTTTTTTTTTATGGATGACACAGACTCAAATAATCTACAAACAATAACCAAAATAAAATTTTCTCAAGCCGATTTAGGCGCGTTTTCCTTCTATTAAATAATGCATGAGTGTTTTACATGCAGTTTTTTTTTAGCCCCCCCCCCCCCCCCAAAAAAAAAATTCACTTTCGCAAGTTTTATACAATTGCATCCACCAAGGTGTTCATTCCAACTACCTTGTGGAATAGGTCGAGTATGAGAAAGATTATTAAAAGGAAACTCGAGATATCAGCAATCACAGTCTGTCTCCGGGTGTCGGGTGTATTACACCCAGTGGAGGTGGATAGGGTTACAGTCTGTCTCCGGGTGTCGGGTGTATTACACCCAGTTGAGGTGGATAGGGTTACAGTCTGTCTCCGGGTGTATTACACCCAGTTGAGGTGGATAGGGTTACAGTCTGTCTCCGGGTGTATTACACCCAGTTGAGGTGGATAGGGTTAAAAAGCATTATTATTTCACGCAGCGGTGTCCGCAAAAGGTTTGTCATTGAATGGCGAATATCTATTAATAGAACATCCGGGGAAACGGTCTGGCCAATCTCATTAAGAAATTAATATTTAAAAAAACAAAACAAAAAAAAACATAATGATATCCCGTTTGTTCAATCTCTCAACAGCCGTTCGGTACTTCTTCGTTAATGTGAGAGCCAGCATAGTGGGTCTTAACCGAGAGACCTAGACGAAAACGTGTTTACAACTTCATTTTACGAAATATTTAACAAACAAAGTGTCACCGCCATGCGGAAATACATTGGTATATAGAAGCTATCTATGTTTTACGAAAACATTGTATAGTAACTTTACATAACGTGATGTGGGGGTTTCCCGGTCTTAGAAATGACAAACCCTATGCCTGTACGTCCCATCTATAATACTAGACAAAATATGTATTCAGATAATGCATTTTTTAAGAATGACAGTTGGCGCACACTTCTGGGCATTGTATTTTTGTGCACACCTGACACTGCTGCAAACAGCTGTACTCGTGCTCACATACTGAAAGAATCATTATTAACCAGCTACAGCCCGCCAAAACAATGGCGGTGGCGATGCGTGAACTTCAAATCCAGTGGCGTAGCTTAGGGGGTTGCGAGGTTGCGGACCGCACCGGGTGACACCATCTCGGGGGGGGGGGGGTGACACCAAATCGAAAAATTGCACATACAGAGCACACACTGCTCGGTCTAACCGAAATTCACAAAAGGATAACTGATAACACGCACATTTTCGACCCATGTATCCAATCCAAATGCGTGCGTTATTTAAAGTTCAAGGTTGATGCGTCAAAAATGAGGTGAGTCTATAATTACTACAGAAGAGAGAAAAAAAAACAAACAACGTTTGGACGATGATTCAACGCCGATTTTAAGTGTTCGGTAACTTTCATAAGTGACACTCTTGAAAATGCTTGATGCATTACATTTTTTCGGCACTCTCGAGGGAATATTTTCCTTCTTTGCTTACATCAACTTATTGATGGGATGTTTTATTTGAACACACTGGAACGTCGATGAAAACACCGTAAACAACACGTTGGAGCATGGGCGCCCGCAGAAAACTTTCTAGGGGGTGGGGGGGGGCAAAAAAAATCGATTAACTTTCCAGGGGGGGGGGGATAATTTTTAGTAATGTTTTAATGTACCGTAGTTTTAATTTACTGTAGCGTATTTGTATGGTGAACGAACGGACAGGACATCAGCTTAAGTTACTTTCTCTTTATTTTCTCTTTACTTTAATAGATTTTTTGTCTAAAAAAATTTTATCCAATCAATCCAGGGGGGGGGGGGCAAGTGCCCCACCTTGCCCCTACCTGCGGGCACCCATGCGTTGGATAAAACAGTGAATGGTACGTTTGATGAATGTGGGGCGGCGCTTGAAGCTCTTTGTGATCCTCTTGAAAATGTGAGTACAAGAGGTAAAACACAAGGTCTTTTACATGCATCATGGCATCAAGAGAGTCTGTGATTTCACGTTTATCTGCCACCTTTGGCAACTTTGGGCTGACCCACTCGAGGAAGTTAATCTTACACACCAGTATCTGCAAATGGAAGGCTTTACTGTTGACCAAGTGGTGGCCAACCAAGAACCAGGAAAGGGGGATATTTTATTTTTAGGAAAGGATATAACTTGACGTTGTTACGGTTCTTAAATGCATTTACCCCCTGACCTTCAATTAATTTGTTTCTTTTTTTTTTTGTTTTTGTTCGTGTCACTGTCATACAGTGGACTTATTTTAACAAGACGAAATCCACCGTGGAAGTCGAGTGCATGGAGTGGGGGGATGACACCAATCAGTTTACCACACCGGGTGACACCAACACTACCTACGCCACTGTTCATACCTACTAAAAGTTACTAAACAAACCACGCATGTAAGTAGCATACTTTATAAGATTCCCAAATAGTGCCACCTTCCCTTCCCCCATGCTACGCCACCGCCACTGAACTATATTAAAATTCTAATGTCCCACCCTCTTTCATACCGTAGATTTTTTAGGAACACCATGTTGAAATGTAGACCTATTTTCGTAAAGCCAAAGAAAACATTACGCACTTGCGGTATTTTTAAGAAACTCATTTAGCTCAGGTATCGGGAATTGAGTGATATCGGCGCCATCTTGTAGCGTTAGTGCCATGGTTACATAGAAAATTATGCATTTTAATATGAATCGAAGCATCTTTGAACATGAGGTCTGAGCAAAGGTTTCCCCCTGTAATCTATCTAAGCCCCACCCCCATCCCCCAATCCCCCACCCCCCTCCAAACTCCATTCGAATGAGAAAAATAAAAGTTATATGGCAGAAATGAAAGCAGGTAATCTTCTCCTGACTGCCGTATTATATTTACCCGGTTTCTCACGTAGGCCTGGCCTACCGACCTATCTTTGTTTACATTTTAAGGGAATATGGTAATGCGCTGATGGCAGTATTACAATTTATTTCATTCACGACGTGTGCACAGTATAAGACAAACTAAAAGAATAATAACGCCAGTGAGCATGCCGTGCGTCTAAACTACGGTTACCGGAAATTTTGATCGAAAGAAATTTCGTCGACGGAAAATTGATCGACGGAAATTTGATCGAACGGAAATTTGGTCGAATCTTATGTTCAGTCCACACGGTGAAATTGTTGTCAAATTTCTTTTTGAACGCACTTTACCATATAGACTATATAGTAAAACAAAATAATGCGTTAAAAAAGAAATTTGAAGCAAAATTCTCATCATAGTAATCCGAAGAAGAATCCACCCCTTAACTAAGTAAAAATCAAGAAAAAGCTGCGCCCTAGGCGTTTCTGGGCCAGCCGGATGGTTTTAAAAAAAAATAAAGCGTTAAAAAAGAAATTTGAAGCAAAATTTTAACGTAAAAACTGAAGAAAAAAAAAAAAAAAAAGGATTCGACCAAATTTCCGTTCGATCGAATTTCCGTCGATCAATTTACCGTCGACGAAATTTCTTTCGATCAAATTTCCGGATACGCTAAACTACACTTAGACTTCTCAGCGTAAAAGACCCATGCGTTGGATAAAACAGTGAATGGTACGTTTGATGAATGTAGGGCGGCGCATGGGTGCTAACACTAACTGTAGAGAAGGGTATACGATTATAGTGGAACATGTGGATGCAGCCTCTGGATAAGCGCGGGCCGCGCTGCAGCGTCAGTGCCATTCATTTGACCTATTAATAGTATTAACATGTGGATGCAGCGTCATGTCAGTCATTTGACCTAGTCTAAATCTAGTCCTTGGCTGCCCGTGTGTTCAAAAGACATGTTACGCGGCCAGAGACCAGGTCAACCGTAACCATCCAGTCAAGATGACATGGCGTGTTGAATTTAAAAGTTCATTTAATCGCTAGCGTAACGTATTCGTTTATTCAGCACTTTCTTATAACATGCTTTTAGTAACGTTTAAAGAAACCTGCAAGTTCCATTCATTGCCAAATAAACGAACGTTGATAAACGAGTCCACGGATCCCGGCCACCTCAAGCGAAGCGTCGCTTGAGAAAAAAACTGCTTTGTCACGCTGACGATATGGATTTCATTACAGTTTTGATATACCGGCGGTTTTGATTCGTTCTTTTTTTGCGGCCCATGGTAACGATACGCGCGGTTAGACATGTTTTTTTATAGTAAGCTTTAGTAGAGGTATTCGTGGTTTGTAAGCAGCATTTCCAACTAGCGGCGAAAGAGGGCGATATTCACGCTTGAGTTAAACTAACAACTCTATCGACCTGCAGATATCGCCGGGGAGAGTCTAGCTCACGCCAGCCGACGATAGATCGGTATAAATAGTGCTCTCCGTGCACCAGGTCTCATTGTGAATTTGTCGGCGGACAACTGCATGTATCGTAGATTTACTGAACAAGAAATGGCAGGCAAGACAGCAGCATCCAAGTTGAAAGTTATTGTATTTCTAGGGTCAACACGCGAAGGCCGCGTGGGTTTGAGAGTTGCAAAGTTTATCACGGGGCAACTCGAAGCTAAAAACTACGAAGTGGAATTATTCGGTAAGTTGAAATCGTAGTATAAATTATAAAATTAAAATAATAAAAAGTGAATTTTTATCTACGTCACGCTGGCGCCGGTTTGAGTGAAGGCTAAATGTCTTGTTAAATTCTTTATGAAATCTAGTAGTAACTCTCATGGCTCAGCCTTTTAACTTTACTAATATTATTACTAATACTATTACTAATTACCGACTTCCTTTGCTCCTATTTCTGCCACAATACTACAGAGGTGTAGTTAGATATGTGTACGTTTGGGCTTGGGTCATTCAATTTGTTTCTTCTTAACTTCAAATGAACTCAATGGAATTTACTGACTTTTTATTATAAGTAGCTATCAAGCCATTTTCATTAAATTTAATTTATTACATCTTAGCATGATTGCGGTGATAGGCAGGAGTGATAACTAGCGTTCTTAGCAACGGATTTACTTGTCCACAGTGCTCTCCCATATTAATTTAGTCTTCTAATAGTTTTAGGACTCCCCGAGTAGGAGTCTTGTTTTGTCATTAAAAAAAGTCTTTACCAGATTTCATTTTTCTTGATAATGCATGCCACATGTGAACTCAAAAAATCTCTAACCTTGACTGCCTTGAGACTTGATTCAGCCTTGATTAATTTTAAAACGAACATTTCATTGGTTTAAAGTACTTTATAAATTTGATTTTTGTATTATTATCATAATTTAGATCCGGTTGTGCTGAAGTTCCCTCTTCTAGAGAAAGCCCTTCACTTTTACCAGGACAGGAAAACTGCCCCAAAATTGCTTTTGGACTGTGAGGAGAAAATCAAGGCGGCTGATGCCTTTGTTGTGGTGTCTGCAGAGTACAACCACAGCATCCCACCAGCCCTTTCCAATATGCTTGACCACTTTCCAGGAAGCATTTTTGCCTACAAACCTAGCGCAATTGTAACATACTCACCAGGTGAGTTGATCTTTTCAAATAATTTTTTTTTTAAATTTTAAGTTTTATAAAAGCTAGGTCATAAAAATGTGGATTTTCTCTTGAGGCTCATTAAGTAAATAAATATATACTAGGTTTACCCGGTTGCAGTTTTTCTTACACCAGGACCGATACCTTGTATGTTCAATTTTTTTAAAAAAGGGGTTAACTTCTCATTTTGTATAATATGCCACAAAATCTACTGCCGTATGTGGTGGTGAGAGTGAATATTGCCTTCAACCGCTTGTGTCAAGAAATAACCCACTGATAGGAACATTTATTTGCCGGATCCTGTAACAGAGATGACATTCAACAAAAACCCATCATCAGTGAAGATAGTGTCTTTTTATAACAAAGGCTTATGAAAAAAGTCACACTATAATTAATAATGCCCGAGTTCAAAAGTCACATGACTGGACTGTCTTTTTTTTCGGGGTGGGGGGGGGTTTGCGCTTCATAATGGAAGCAGGACACATCAGCAGCAAAATATATTAGTTTGTTTTCTCTTATATTGTTAATGGTTGAAGTTTAGTCCAGAAAAATGCATGATGAATTCCAGATATTAATTTATAAACATTATGAAGAAAAGTATGCTTAATTTAAGCATATGCTCTTTTTGTGACCTTTGAATAAAAAATTTTAATGTATTCTTAACTCCTCTTGGTTTGGGAAGTGCGAAATTTTAAATATTTCCCAATGGCATATTTTGTTTCTGCACAAGATGATCAGTTGCAAACATAAAGTAATTTAGAAGCTTTAATTTCAAACAATATTTAGTGTGTTGCAATACAGTTTAAAAAAACAACCTCTTTAGCAATATTATTTATTGAAGAATAAATTAAAACCAATCTTTTGTTTTCAGGACCCTATGGAGGCATGAGGGCGGCCATGCAATTGAGAGCATTCCTTAGTGAATTGGGCGCACTCAGCGTCTCAAATATTTTTGGCATCCCAGAGGTTCACAAGGCCCTGGATGAGAATGGAAAACCGTTGAACGATTTCATGGTCAAGGGTGCCACAACTCTACTGACACAGCTGGACTGGATGGCTTGGGCCATGAAAAATCACAGGGATGCACATGGGGTGCCAAAATAAACACTGGGGGAGGTACCAAAATAAGTTATTCTCATCTGTAACACATTACCAGAAAGGTGACAATGCATAATCATATCACAAGGGCAGCACCATAAAAATCCCTAAAAGTGCGAAAAGAAGTGAGGTTACATCTTGTATATACGGTATTTTAATTTTATGTAGAGTTTGTTTTCAACATGTGTAATGACATGACATTATCGAATTAAAAAAACAACTAAATTGTATAAATCAAGAAAATGCATGAAACTAGTTGCCTTTTTTTTTTTAAAACCAATTTAACAAAATAATGACCTCTTATTTAATACCGGTACTTTTAGTTTTTAAAGACTTCTGTGTTTACCAAAAATAAAATTTTGTTAGGGGAAAAAAAATAAAGTAAATAAGTCATGCCTCTACACTCTCATATAATGTTGGACATCTCTGTACATTTTATTATTACCATTCCCAGCTTTTTTTGTTTCTTTGTGTGTTTCTATTCTTGCCTCTTTATTTTGTAACGATATTTGTTAAGGGGCTCTGTATATCAGTGTTAAGTTAAGGTGCTGGTTCACTGCTTATGAGTCCAAATAATCCTTCAAACAAGAAAAAAAACGCAGTATGTTATAACAATATTTTTTTTTTCTGCCATTGCTGTTAAGTCCCAGAAGGAATGTGATCTCATGATCATTGTGATACACCTTAATAAATGAATTTCAACTAGGTAGTTAGGGAGATTATTGTGATCAATTTTATTTTGCTTGCTTGTAGATTGTTATTGTACATTTTTGCAAAAGTTAATAAATATTTGTTGAAAATGTGTAGACATCTTCCTTTTTATTTGTACCATTCCTTAGTTCTCAAAATATATTTTTTTAATCATGGTGGTAGGAATGCACTGTCATATATTCTGTCCTATGTTGACCTTGACTTAAAATGGTTAACCTTCTTAGATTGGTATGCCATAAGGTAAAGGGGGGGGGGTGGTGGTGTTAAAACTGGTTTTAAAAAAATTATTCTATCCTACTTGCTATATCAGGCCAATGGCTAGGCTGCCTGGCAGTTAGTGAATCCCAATAGCTTCACTTGTCACAGCTGGTATTGAGAATGTAACATGTCCATAAAGTAAGCCAAAGTTCAGCAAACTATCATTTTCATATTTGAGTATTTACTCAGTAAGGTGATTAAGAAAACAATGTGATTGTTTGATAGAAATGTCTCACAAAACAAATTCAAAATAAGAATGTACAAAACAGGTTGAGCAGCTTTAAAAGTGTTCGCTGCCAATGATAGATTGGTACGTTTCATGATATAATGCCAAGAATAGCTCGCTTTGATTTGTTTACTTAATGCAGGGCATACGTGGTCTGGGCGAGTGTGTGGTTTGCTTCATGCCAGTTGATTGAGCCTAGACCAGAGAGTAGTAGTTATTTTATAACACGGCCCCCCCCCTCCCCTGCTCCGATTGCAGTCTCGCCATCATGGCGATTGGGGTGGACTAGGCCCCCTTGAGACCAGCTAGGAAACCTGCAGGGGTCACTGCAGGTACACACCTGCCTCAATATGCCTCATCACACGGTTATTTTTTCAAGAGGGATCGGCGAAGAGCTTAGGCTTAGGGCCACACGATTACAGCTGCTGGTTAAGGATCGTAGTGAGTGAACACAGATGTTAACGATGGCAAAAAGTGCCAACCCTCGTTGATGGGAGGTCTTCTGGGCAGCTTTTTTTAGTCCCCGTCACAAGCTGCTTTTTGTGACGTGATGTTTAATGTAGTGGCCTGGAGTTTATAATCAAACACCGATTAAAAGACTACTAGGAGCTATTCTGATTCTAATAGACTACGTTGCTGCAACCAAGTCCTGGCATTTGTGTAACGGGTTGGGAAACGGTGCGGCCATCCTAACGGCTCCTAGCGGGTGCCAGGGCAGCCTTGAAACTCGCGATTGATTTCGAGTCCACGGTGGTCCAGTTGGTTGACAGCTCTGAGGAAACCGTCGCAAGAAGGCACCAGTGGAGATTCCTCACCTCCCCCCCCCACACACACACACAAATGTGTCTGGGAGAAAACATAGGATTGAGTTTTGCCCCCGGGGTGGCACTCTCATAGTAATCCGAAGAAGAATCCACCCCTTAACTTCGAGTCCACGGTGGTCCAGTTGGTTGACAGCTCTGAGGAAACCGTCGCAAGAAGGCACCAGTGGAGATTCCTCACCTCCCCCCCCCCCACACACACACAAATGTGTCTGGGAGAAAACATAGGATTGAGTTTTGCCCCCGGGGTGGCACTCTCATAGTAATCCGAAGAAGAATCCACCCCTTAACTAAGTAAAAATCAAGAAAAAGCTGCGCCCTAGGCGTTTCTGGGCCAGCCGGATGGTTTGCCATGAGGGCCAAACACCCCGGGGGTGCCGCTTCGTGAGTAGCGATTCCCGGTGGGTGGGGGGTGGGCTCGGGGAGCTGATGCCATTCCTTTTGAGTTACATGACTCAGGTATTCTTATTAATGAGGGGGCGGGCAAACGAACGACTGTCGCAGCTGCTCCATATGCCGAATTGTACGGATCTCAATCGCATTGTAATGTACCGTAATAGAGAGTGCGCATGACCGAGGGTCAGGCAATGAAAAAAAAAATATATACATATATAACCAAATATTGATGATGCAACTCAATATTGTAACACTAACTAATAGTTTATTTTTATTGGGGTTGTTGGTGTGAGGATATAATGATCTTTATTTAACAAATGCGCCCTATTGCGTTTGGGAGCCACTGATTAACCATGAGGACTGTTCAGCAGTAGCCTTTAGTAGTAGTAGGTCCTTACTTGTACGGGAAAGGGGAAATTCCACTGTTAACATAGCAATTATCACTCCTCACACCGGGGCCTCCATTATCTATTGTTTTGTTTTATTTGTGTTTATTCTACCGCCCGTGGCCGTGGCACGAAGTCAATGGAAAAACTGCAGAATCATGCCGGTGAATATTGTTAGACCACGTAACCCCATAATGCCAGGATAAAGTTGTTATCCCTCACAGGCTTACTCCCACCCCCTATGTTTTTTTTTTCTTCCTCTCTTTTCTTTCTGGTGTTCATTCTGTTGTCTATAAATGCCGGTAAATGTTTGTTATCATGTCTGAGTTGCCCGTGGATGAATTCGAAAACAATTGAGCTTTGTTCGTTTTTGTTTTTGTTTTTGAGTTTAGAGGCTAGTAAAAGAGTAAGACGTGGTTGAGGCTACTTAACCCAGCAGACGCTCACAAAATAAAAAAAAAAAAAATTTAAAAATTCTCGAACAGTAGCAAAAGATTTAATTACATACATTCGTAAATCACAATATTGAATCAACTGGTGGATAACTACAACTTCAATCGTCCTTGAACCGAGCAGAAATGGCAGGCAAATTGAAGGCTATTTTATTTCTTGGGTCAACTAGAGAAGGACGTCTAGGATTGAGAGTGGCAAAATTCATGCAGAAACAACTTGAAGAGAAAAACTTTAATGTAGATTTGTTTGGTAAGTTGAAAATTAGGTATTTTAAATGTATACATTATAATTTATAATACACAATCAAATTGTAAATATAATATAATATAGCCTCTTCGTTATCGTATGAACTATTCGCACTCAAGTTGAGACTCAAGTCTCCCAAGTCCAAGTTAGCCGGCACATTCTGAACAGTATGCCAGAGATCGGGCGTGGCTTGAAAGTATGCCAGTGGTCCCCATGTTTAAAAAAAAAATTCTTGACACTCATGCTGAAGCTACGTTCCCACAAATTAAAATTTAACAAGTACACCGCAAAATAGTGAATATATTAACACATCTAGTCCTATATACTTAGTAGGCCTACTTATTTATTTTCAGACCGCAAAATTTCTGACTTATGTCAAGTAGTTGAATTGTAATTAGGACGAGGATGACTGGATGGTGATCATCGCTAATTTTCTCAAACTAAACAGAGCCACTACTGTCACCACGTGCATGACTACTGGTTTGTTCCATTGAAATGGAACTTGAAATATGAATTTCGTAACATAGTTCTTGATTCCCACGGCCATGTGACTTGTGAGTCAAATGGGGCTCCCTAGTCTAGGGCTTCACTATGCACACCCTGGGAACCACTGGTGTATTCACAAGCCAACAATAATATTGACTTTGAGAATATCATGTGCTGCCTCGGACCACGGCCTACGCGTAGTCATAGTCTCCATTAGGTGCTTTCTCAGAAAGATAGAGCAAAAGATTAATAAGTTGTACTGTCATTGCTTAATTTATCAAAATGCAGCCGAAAGACATATTACAAAGGCCTACTAATTAATTTAGAAATGGCAAAGAACTAAAATATTAGTAGCCCATATTTTCAGTTAATTACAAATATTTGTCTAATTTTATATTCGACTACCTTCTTAATCTTATTTGTCAGAAACTGGACCCAAATCAGAAAAAATTATTAATAAGACTAACAAGCTTAACCATGCTTTTCTTTAATGAAACATTCCGTACTCCTTGTGCTTCAGATCCTGTAAAGCTCCAGTTCCCATTACTGCAGAAAAGTACTTTCCACTACCAGAACAGGGAAGATGTGCCGAAATGGATGTTGGACTGTGAGGAAAAGATAAAAGAAGCTGATGCCTATGTCGTGGTGTCTGCAGAATACAACCATAGCATTCCTCCAGCTCTCAGTAACATGTTGGATCATTTTCCATTGAACATATTTGGCTACAAACCAAGTGCAATTGTGACATACTCTCCTGGTGAGTACTATGACTATGATTTTATTAGTAGAGAGTTCTTGTTTAAAGTGTCTAAAGCTAGTATAATTATCAGTGAAATGACTACACTAAACTCTGTGTTTACTAAACTAAATCATGTGTTTATTTGACCTGAACATTAAAGCCTGTGTTTACTACACTAACTAATTTGAATTTCAGTTATTTTAAAACTTCAAACAAACAAGTCTTAAAAGAAACATTTATTTCTAAAAGAAAAGTTCAGGCTGTCATAAATTGTATCATTTTTTTTACTATATAATATTTTTATTTAAAAATGATTAGTTCTGTTCATATCTTTTTTTATTTCTTTCAATTTCAAGCCAGTTGAACATATATCCTAATCCAAAATTTAACATAAATCTCTTCAATACAATTTTATCTCTAGGACCCTATGGGGGAATGAGAGCCGCCATGCAGCTGAGAGTATTCCTCAGTGAGTTGGGCACACTTAGTGTCTCAAATATATTTGGCATCCCTGAAGTCCACAAAGCCCTGGATGAGGAGGGTACACCCTTAAACGATCACATGGTCAGTGGTGCTGACCGTCTACTCGCACAGCTTGACTGGATGGCGTGGGCTATGAAAAACCATAGGGAAGCACATGGTGTACCAAAGTAAGAAATTATCAATTTAAATATTGATTTATTCACAAAATTTAAATCTGTATCAAGAACAATTTGAATAAAATATGCAACTTCTTTGTACTTATTTGTCTTTGAGAACTCTTGTTATAATAATCTCTAAATATTAATAATTAATATGCCATGTAAGCAAGTAATTCTTTTATGGAATTGAAATGTTCAGTAATAAATTTTTTTTTAGAAAAATAGTAATACTCGTTTATTTCTTAAATATAGTATTTTACGTTGTTTCAATCACATTTCAATTAAATTTATGCTTGGTCAGTGTGCATAAACTGATAAAAAAAAAATTACAACCAGCATTATCTTGTCTTGGCTTATGTTTGATCCTTTCAGAAGACAATTCAATTTTGAATACAACTGAAAGGTTTCTGGGACATTGTTAAAACGTATTTAAATATTTTAAAAAATCATGAGATGGCTCATCAAATTTGTCAATTTGGACAAACTTATTCAATTGGACTGATTTGTATTATTTTTTAAAAAATTTACAAGGTGTATTCATTGCTCTATTCTCAATCGAGTATGCAGCAGCCTAATTTTTTCAAGTGGGTTTGAGAGGAGGCAGAAACATTTGAAATGACAAGCAATGTTTTCACATTGAAAAAAATTTGTTTCAAATCAAATTTGTTTACCTGCCTAGCATACCGACCCACTACTTAAAATAAAACCTAAAGGCTTACAAAATAACCCTGGAAAGTTAAAATTCAGCACTGGGTGGATTGCAATATTTGCTTTTTTTATGTTAAATAAAAAAAGTAATCTATTTTTATTAAAATAAAAGAAATACAAAAATTATTGTTTTGCTTTGGTGAATATTTTTGAAATTGTGAAAATGTCCTAACTTTCCAAGAGTTTCTTTGAATAAAGTTTGTTATACTGTATCATATCTATTTTTAGTGGTGCACAAAACAGGGAATCTGGCAATAATGAATACCATATAGTTACAGTATTCTCCATTCACTGACTTTTTACCCCTGCTATATAAAATCTATACTTCAATTGTACCACAGTGAAAACAGACCTCTGTCAAAAGCTCTTTGTTTGCTTAAATTAATGGGTTCTCTCTCCATTTCATGCTTTGTAAGGCTACAAGGAAAAAGCAATTTAGTGTTTGAAATCTAAATGTTGGGTTTCTAAAGCATCAAATGTATTTTTAGTTTGGAGTCTGTCATTGTTTTTTTGTTTTCTAATTTATCTCCACCTACTAACTCATTGATTTTTGACCCAAAGGACAAACACCCAGGGGCAGAAGTAACCTGTTCTGAAAAAAAAATTCTATAGTTGTTATATTTTATTTAAATTTATCTGTTGTGTATTGTCGGCTGAAAAAGCCATCTAGCCGAAATGTCCAATTTATTTTAAAGCCTAAACATATCTTTTTCAACTATTTCTTAAAGATCGCTTGCCAGTTTACTCTATTTACCTGTTCATATCCCCACCCTTATTTGCTGAACTTTTTAAACATTTCAAATAATTGTAAACAAAAATTGACACTCTTAACTGCTTTAGATAAGGGAATTTTAAAATGATCTTAAAATTAGCCCTATCTCGACTCCTAAATTAATTAACTACTTACTACTTCAGGGGATGTTCAAATATTTGAGACCCTCCATTGGAGACGCCCCATCCAAAAAATTATCTTACCCCATTTTAAAAGTTTTCAGTTCTTAACCCATATTTGACCTGAACACTAAAACCTGTGTTTACTAAGTAAATAGTGGTATTTAATAATTGGATAGAAAGTTCAAGCAGAAATAAAATTTTGCTATCAAATCTCAAAATGCCTAATGAGCCAATGTTTGTGTGCAGAAAATCAATAATGGGAAGATTCTCTCCCTACAAATACAACAGTAATTACCTTTAAAATTGAATAAAAAAATAAATGTAACAGTAATAATAAAAATAAATTTTATTGATCATAAATCACAGCACTCAATTATAAAACAAGCTATAAATAGAAATCTTAAAAGGGTTCTTAGGTTCAAACCATTACACAAAAAGACATGCAAAAAAAACCAACTCAATCATTAATGTATGTACAGTACAAAAAAATCAATTGAAAATGACAGACTAATCAAGCTCTTTAAAGAGACATGATTTTTGTTACAATTGTGGATAACAGACTTGAGCATAAAGCCACTAATCTTTACACCACATCTGTTTTTGTTAGCAAACAGTGGCTGGCTCTGGCTGTAATTTATTTTATAATAAAAGAAGCAATGAGCTTACAACCGAATAGAGGTATCCAGGATTCTTAATGAATTATTTATATTGCACTTTAACTTTACATTGATGAAAAATTTTGATAGGGCTCATGAATGATGATTTAAAAAACAACATACATTCAATGAAACACATCTTCTGCTAAAAAAAAACCATCCAGTTAATTTTCTCAGAAATAATTTGTTTTCCTAAGGCCTCCAGTGATTAAATTCCAACATTCTGGTACTCACACACCCCACGTTTTATCCCAAGACATCTAAACCAAAATTCTCAATCCAAAGGAAAAAAGGAAGTGTGGTACTTGTATTTTTTAATTCACCCTCAAAAACATATTTCTATTCATTATAAATTTTTAAAAATGTTTGGTGTGTTTCAGACATTGTGCCGAGTGTGTCAGATGTCATGTTGAGTGTGTCAGAAATTGTGTTTGAGGGGGTCATATTTTTAAATCAGTGTCTACCAAAACTAAATCTTCCACTGTTCAATGCACTTAGACGTTTGTTTGTATTGCTTGACTGTCTGACACCCTTGACCAAAATGCAAATTCTGATAAAATGCAATGGTGGCATGGTTCCTGAAATTTCGTATATTCATTCCTAAAATGATTTTTATTTTCAAACACTTGAAAAAAGTATTGAAGATATATATATTCTCACATCCACAAATCCACTAAATCTATTTCAACTTCAACACCACATGTATGAATAAAAGTGAAATTCATAATGAATAATAAAGATTAACAAATTTGGGGAGTGAATTAAAAAATAAAAACAAGCACAGGAAAGTTGTTCCTAAATTATTCCACCCCTCATATTAATTCGTAATCTTAATAAATGAACAATATCTATTGTTTTCATCTTGTTCAAAGTAATGGGGTAAACATTGTATCAAAATAAATGGTTAAAAACAATGTCCAACAGCAAACATTTAAATCTCTCAAACATTCAAAGTATTCAGATCAATCATGTCAACATCATGATGTGAGAGGAGATGAACTCACTAAAAGCATTTAGGAAACTTTGTGTAGTAGGCTCACAATGGATAATTTATGGTACGCTTTACAATGAAATGCTCACCTAACATAGGCACATAATGATAACTGATGACACTGTCCTAAGTTAACAAAACTTGAATTAAATACAATAATTTGTTTTAGCACCATATTTCAACATGTTTTTTTAAATGCAAAGATATGTTTCATAAACATTAGATTTTTATTCATGGACACACAGTCGAAACATGCTCACGAGTGTCACTTTGGCAATCCACCTTCATCATTCCATACATCTCCTTTCTCAAGCTCTTCCGCATCTATCTCGTCCTTCTTTTCATCATCCTTATCTTCAACAGTCTCACTGCCTTTTTCAGCACCTTCTTTAACCTTTTCTTCTTTTTCTAATCTGGCCACTTCTTCCTCTGTGAGTTCTCTAATCTTTGGTCCACTGGTCAAGTCTTGTTTGTCCACAATTACCTCCTCCACCTCTTCTTCCTCTTCCACATCTTTCTTCTCACCAAATTCCTCCATGGCTTTTTTCTTTTCCTCCTCTTGTAGTTTTCTTTTTCTCTCCTCCTCCTCTTCTTCCTCTTTCCTTCTTTTTTCTTCCTCCTCTCTGGCCTTACGCAGCTGAGTTCTCAAGATGTCCAAAAGGTTTTCAGGTGCTCTCCCTTGTTCATTTTCTTTGATCAGCCCATAGTCAACAGCTTTTTGAAGGGCCTTGAAATTGATACAATTTATTATTACATGTGTTAAAATGAATTTTATGTACATTTGATAGTTTTGATACATTTAAAACAAATTTAACAATAACTTTATTGATGGCATCACAATTATAACATCAAAAGAAAGAAATTCTCATTCAAGAGCGCATTAGTTAATATTTCTACTGTTAAGCATTCAACTCTGGTGGCTTATGAAGATTTTCCAAACTTTAGTTTATAAGTATTATTTGCCCTTGTAAGCATTGTATTACTCTTTATATTTATTTTTAAAAAAATCTGGCCAGACTTACCTCCTGAGCTGCTAGCGTAGCCTTCTCTGCGGAAGGGTCTTTCTGTTTGGCAACCGCACCAAGTATCTCCAACAGTGGGCTTTCAACAACCAATGCTGCCAGTTCCTTGTCAGCTGACATGATATTTAAAAGGGTGTGGCAGACTCGATGTTGAATATCAGGCAGTTCACTGATGGCATGAACTTGGAAGATGTCAAGCCAAGATTTCACCTGTACAAACAGAACCAAAACTGTCCATCAGCTGACCGAGTCACACCAAGCATCACAACTAATAATTATCTAGATTTGTGTGTATGTATGGCTGCAATGCTGTGTTCATTAGGGGCACACAATAAAATTCCCAGAAGTTAGCAATGATTAGTGTGTTTTTATACAGTGCTTTACTTGATTGAATGCATGTTGTGTCAAGTAACTTTAGAATGTGGGAAGTTCATGTATTGTCACTGGCGTTTTTTGGCAAGTCAATTTTAGTATTTAGTATACAAAAACATTGTTCATTAGCTGACTGGATTATCTATGATAAACAGACCTAAAAACTGTCCATCATCCAGCCATATGTATAACATAGAAATGATATTTACCCACCAATTACATATCAAAAGTATTTAAGGACAAATTTATAAGCATCTAGATATTAACCAACCTGTACTATTTTCTGACACAGTGTTGGTCTTGATGATATTATAGCCAATGCCCCCATAGCCGCCCGTACTAAGGCTTCATCATCTTCTCCAGAGAAGAGCACCATCACTTTCACACGGTCGTTCTCTTTTTCATACAAATCTTGCACCTTGAAATATATTTAAGAATATCAATACAACAAAATAATAATATTAAGAGATACATTTTTAAAAAAGAACTTTCTAGAAAACAACTAGGTCTATAACTTCCAAAAAAGCAAAATTATTTTTAGGTATAGAATATAGATACTGTACATACTAGAGTATAGGTCGAACCAGTGTATAGGTCGTTTGGGATATTATAAGGCCCTTTCAAATATTAATTATATAACTAATATTTGTTAAACATATGTGACAAAAATGTTTCCAAAACAACTTGAAAACCGAAAAGGAGTCATAAAAAAACTACGTGATCTTGAATAAACATTTTTAAAAACTGACTGCCCTCTGCTTGAGCGTAAGTAAGGGATAAAACTATTCTACTTTTCTTATAGATGACTACTCCACACTAAATAACAGTAAGTGAAATTGATATTGCATGGATAGAACGCGACCCTGAATTTTATAATAATTTTGGGTAAAAAAAGTGCGTCCTATAGTCGAGTATATACAGTAATTTAATGACAAAAAAAAAAAAAACACAGAGGCCGGAAAAGACATTTCCCCAATATGATTGTGCGAAAAAAAAAACCCTGCAAAATCTCGCTACCTCGTAACCTCGCTACCTTTGTTTACCTGCTCACTAAGCAACATATTGCACATACACTCTGTGGCTGCCCTCCGCAACATGGCATGCTCTTCAAACATATAATGTTCAATGGAGGAGATACCTTTTTCAGACACAATACGATTTCTGAAATTTAGAAAAACAAAATAATTTAAAAAAGAAAAAAAAAAAAGGATTCCTTATTGGGAAATTTGCATTCCAACATTTTAGTAATTAATAAATTTGAAAAGAACTACAATAAATTTCAACTATTTGCATCTTTTTTGACATGTTAAAAGTATCATTTAAACTACAGGAGAAATCGGTTATGTCAATAGCAATGAGGTTTGCCAAAAAGCGCAAATATAACCGATGATTGAGATAACCGAAAACCAAAAGGTGTCAATATATTAACAATTGCAAGGCGATTTTTCTAGAGCTGTGCAGG